TTTCAGTTGAATAAAGATGAGCAAGATAACATCAAGAATGGAGGTAAAGGCATGTGGCAGAGGGTTGGTGTCAGTGAGGTTGTCCTGGACTGGCTATAGCAGAGACGGTGAGCTGTAGGGAATGGATAGCCGGTGGGAAGTGGGGGTGTGGTCAAGTGGCCTCATTTGCTTTGGTCAAATTTGTCTCCATACTTGTTTAGTGGATGATTAGTTACTTATGGCTACTGTCTGAGAGTTGTGCGCTGTAATAGAGACATGCCCAGTTTCAAAAAAAAGAGCAGTTCTTAGTAGTCTTGGGGTAATACAAGATTTATTTATGCAGGCATGCAAGAGCTGGGGTACAGGCCAGAGGTATGGGGGTGAGAGGATTCCCCAGACACAGAGTGGGGACCAGACCAGGTAGATTTACTGAAACACACTGCTGAGGAGAGTAGCGGGGGAGACAGGAGAGGTCTGCTGAGCCACGAGGGTCACTTCGCCAGTGGGGACGGAACTCTTGTTGACGTGGCTTGGATATAACTTGATAGAGCTGACACTTTAACCACTGTGCCACTGGGGAGGCTCAATCTGGGTGTTATTTTGGAAAGAACAGTAAAATTAGTAAACTGTATGCAGGATAATTTGACCTCAAAAGGTAATTTGGGATTTATTAACTAGGAGCAGTAATGCAAGTTCTTGTAGCATGCTGCATCATTTAATATTAGTCCTTTTCTATTGGCAACATGCTTTGGTCTCTTCAGATGAGGTATTCATCAGCCACAGGTGCCTAACAAAATACCACAGATTGAGTGGCTTAACCAACAGAACTATTTCCTCATCATTCTGGAAGCTGGGAATTTAAGATCACCGTGACCATTAGGTACCTTCCCTCTAAAGCCTGCTTAGCTCATTTATTCACGTAGTCTTTCCTCTGAGCTTGTCAGTATCCTAATCTCCTCTTATAAGAACCCCAGTTTTATAGGATTAGGGTCTACCCTAATGGTCTCATTTTTTCCCCTTACTTACCTCTTTAAGAGCCTCATTACCAAATTCAGTCTCATTCTGAAGAACTAGTAATTAGGACTTCCATAATGAATTGGAGGGACATGGAGTGGGGGAGGGGATACAGTTTAGCCCATAATGGGTGAGAGTTTAAAAATATACAAATGCACTGATAACAGTAATTGTCTCCTAGATGGGACAGGAAACCTAGGAGGTCATTTTTGCACATTTTTGCACAGCATTATTGTACTTTCTTGTACTCAACAAATATTTATGGAATGAAGTCAGCAGAAACTCAGTGTAACAAATGCTTTGTCTCTGAGATTTAAATCTACCTGACAGTCCCTCATAAGCAGGGGAATGGTGCCTGCCCTGGTTTTCCTTACGTATCTTATTTTGAATATTTAGGTTCTCCATCTGTATGACATCCAGTAGGACTGGATAGGGATACCATCACTGTTTTATCCACAGGACGTCCCCTAGATTTGGCTTTAAGAGTGAATGTGTCCAGGGAAAGAAGCAGCTTTGCGGAGTGAGACCTTTTTAATATATTTCTCCATAGAAAGTGGTAAGGAAGGAACGCTGGGAGCAGAATGTGAGGTTTAGAATAATTGACTAAATTAAATTATGATAAGAGGCTTAAGGGGAAACTACTTAGCCTAATTTACCCTCTTCCTCATTCTTTTTTTCTTTTTCCATGATCAGAACCCCTTTGACAACATTGCTATTCTATATTTTTTAAGAGAGGTAGTTCTGAAGCAACAACATACACCTACCCAGATTTTTCCCACACACCCATCCCCTCAAATCCCTTTTTCTGTCTGTCAGTTTCTTCTCTAACTCTAATGCTCACCTCCTACCCCAACATTTCCTCTCACCTTTTGTTGATTTAGGTCTGGGGTTTTCAGGAAAGAACTTAGCCTCTGTTGCTCCCACAGAGAGCCCTAGACTGCTTTTTAGCTCCCTTCTGAGATTACATAGGAAACAGAAAGCGTAGAGGTTCCTGACTGCCCCGAAACACTATGGGAAATCCTCCTGGCCCTCAGGACGTCTGAGTGCCTGGGTAGCCTGCGCAGTGAAATCAGACCGTTGAGTTCAGGTTGGGGAAGTGTTGGAGATTGTTATGAAACTGGGTCTTCAGCTTTCACAAGTTGTTGTCCCAGAAGATTTAGCCAACTTGGCTCTCCTGAGCTCCTGCTTGCCTTCCATTGGACCAGACCCCAGCGCTAAGTACACCAACAATTTTCTGGTGTGGTCTCCACACACCAGCTTCCTGCTGTGGCTACAGGCCCCTCCAGACCTACCTCCATTTGGCTTCAACCAAACTGGGAGATAACTAGAAGCCTGCTACCACTGAGCATCCCTAGAGGTAGTGGGATTTTGCTAAAAGCTATAAAATGTTTGTTTATGTTCTTAAGGGATGTCTGTAAGATACAAATATGTGGCTTTAGAATTGATTGGGAAGAACACAGTGGTGAAAGGTGACCATCTGCTGCCTTCACTATAAAAACAGGGGCTGAAGATAGACATATGTTCCATAGCTGTCATTACATAATGCTTTACCTTGTCAGATTTATCCCTCAGGATAATTGTGTGTTTTCTCAACAAACATGAGAGAATAGCAAAAGGAAATTCTCCACCAGTAGTTTGTTTGTTTGTTTTTAAAGATTTATTTATTTATGCATACAGAACTGGGGTACAGGCCAGAGGTACAGGGGCGGTGAGAGGATTTACCAGAGACAGAATGGGGAGTAGAATAGGCAGAGTGGGGGAGTAGAACAGGTATACTGCTGAGGGGAGCAGCGGGCGAGTCAGGAGAGGTCTGCCACACCATGTGGCTCATCTCTGGGTTAGGTGGGGATCGAACTCATTCTGAAGTGGCGTTAGCTTCTTAGTGCTGTGTTTTAACCTGCTGTGCCACCAGAAAGGACTCTTCACCAGTAGTTTTTAAATCTCATCTATGACCACCAAACTGGGATCAGAAGAAGGGAAAGGGAACTTAAGACTAAAGAAAGGTTCATGATGGTTAAATGAAACCCCTAAAGCCACAGCTACCAAAATTAAGCTATAGAAGGCATAAATAGACTATACAACCAACCGAGGGTAGGGTCTAATCACTTCCGGCCATCTCCCAATATCTAACAGGATGCTTGTTTTACAAAATGAGTTTTCTACAAATTTCAGTTCAACAGAAATTATTTGGGTTGTGTCCCATGTTCAGAGACAAGAATTTTGAGATGCTAAATGGAATCACAGGGATAGAGTTTACTTTGGAGAGCTATTAGGTACTGCAATTAATGGTATTAAAAGTAAAGTTTAAAAAGAGTCAGGAGACTCCTTTCATATCATCGTTGTAATCAGGAACACAGCAATTACTTCTGGAAAGCTTATTGCATTAACTTGCTAAGGGGAGTTTTTAAAAATCCAAATATAGTAGACAACTTTTAATAGTATTTTAAGCAAATACTTAACTATGAGCAGATACTGATGCTCATTTAATCTGGATCAACTGTACTTTAATTCATACTAGCACATTTTCCATGAATATTTGATATCATTAATAAATATCTTCTGTAGTGTTTTGAGAAAGTGATGGTCTATTTACAAGTCATTAATTATTGCAAATAAATTAATTTGAGGCTTTATGTCATAGAAATTGGACTTGTTAATTAGAAAGAACACAGCTGAAAAAAATTTCAGTGGGTCACTACTTGGGAAGAAAGTTTCATCAATTTTGAAAAAAGAATAGGAATTACTCATGTTCCTGAAAATATAGAATGTGATGACTAAATTAAAGTGGAGAAAATGTAAGCCAATCTTGAACTCATTTGCAATGGAAATACTATTCAAATGGCATGGGGGTCAATTGGGTTCAATTTTGGTTTTTCAGTTTCGTGAATGATTCTTTCCCATAAACTTGACTGACTTATGAACTTTTGGAATGATAGTCACTTAACAAAGTTTTTTTGAAAGACTCATGTTTGTCTCCATCTTGATTTAATTTGCTCTTAATTACTGGAGAGTAAGGGGAGATGATGTGGATTCTGTAAGATAAAGAACTGACTAGCCAGCTTCATGCCCAGAGTTATCAAACCTGGTTCTTAGAATCCACGTTTTCAAGTCTGGCCCTTTGTTTAAAGAAAGAAAAAAGTTAATAGGGCTGGAGATAGCCATTTCCCCCTCCCCAATGAAGACTGATGAGCTGCCAGCCTGTTACTTAGAAATCTGTTGGGAAATTTGTAAACAATTGAAAGAGTTTATCTGATGACTGACCAGTTGTAAAATTTAGCCCCAAGTATTTGACTCTAAAGGTGAAGGGATTAACATGGAATTGTGAGTCTCCATGCACGGAAAAGGAAAATATGTTGCCTTTATTCTGTTCACATATTGAAATAAATAGCTCCATTCAAGTCTTGATAAGAGAGGGAGTCAGCTAAACAAAGTTGACAGTCTTCAATTTCTTCCTTTTCCTTCCTTACACATTCCACATAATTCTTGGGTCGTGTGTGTGTGTGTGTGTGTGTGTGTGTGTTGAGCCCAAAAACCTGGACTTTTGCTAAATGCCTGCTTTTACATTTTATCTGATATGTTTCTGTCATTATGCATATCTTATCTATTTTAACCCATTAGAAAGAGAAGCACAGCTAACGTTAGCTAACTGGTCCTTTCTAATAACAGAGATGAGAAATCTGGGCAAAGAATGTGTTGATTTTGCTAATACTGTTCTTTAAATCTCAGTGATCAAGTGTCAGCTAATTACCCCCTGGGCTCTAGGCTTTCACTGGGGTCTTCTAAAATACACAAAACCAGAGTGAAGGCAGGACACCATTAGCACTACATAATTCAAGCAAACAATAAATGTGTTTACACTCCCTGGCTATTGACCACCTGCCTCTCCATTCCACAAGGCAGGTATCTATATATAGACTCTCTTGTTCACAGTCCTGCAGAGAATGAGCCTCTCTTTTGGGCCCTGCCATCTGTTAATCTGAAGTTTAGGAAGCTTGGGCCCCAACAGCATGCCTCGCCTCTTACTGCAGCTGCTGGTGCTTCTGCCTCTTGGGAAGGCTCTGTGGCACAGGAACAGCCCCCAGAGTCAGCGTCCTATTTCCCTTGTGCTCCTAGAAAGGAATCATACAGAGCTCCCCACGAGAAACCACGAGGAAGCGGAGGAGAAGCCAGATCTGTTTGTTGCAATGCCACACCTGATAGGAGCCAGTTCTGTTGGGAAAAGTCAGAGGCAGAGAGAGAAAATGCTGTCCAGGTTTGGAAGATTCTGGAAGAAGCCTGAACGAGAACTCTACCCACCTAGTGACTCCATCAGTCAGCACATCCCTGCTGGGACTCAGGCTCTCACTCAGCCAAAGGACGGAAGGCAAATGGAGAAATCTCCTCTGAGGGAAGAAGCCAAGAAATTTTGGCATCACTTCATATTTAGAATGGGTCCAACTTCTCAAGGAGTCATCTTACCCATCAAAAGCCATGAAGTTCATCGAGAGACCTGTAGGACTGTACCCTTCAGCCAGGTAGTTGTTTGGGGGGGTTGGAGCAGGGACAAACAGGGGTTAGGGGAAAGGGTTCAGGAGTCTGAGTCTCCTCTGACTCCAGATTTGGTCCTTGGCCATTTATCAAGGATTTGGCAAAAAATGATGATGCTCCTTGCATTTACTTCTAAACTTTCTGTTGCTTCTTGGTGTTCTGAAAATTCTGCGAGCATGGTAAATGGTACTAGCAATGCAAACAATCACTCATGCTGATGGCATAGGGGTTTGTTTTATAGGATTTCATTTTTATATTTTATGGGAGTGGTCTATTCAGAGAGAAAATTAAGGCTGTACCCTGTTAGAACCTGTGAATTTAGAGCATCACCAGGAATTCTCTTAGTATTCTACATAACATTTTGATTTGGATAGGCAGGTAGGCTCTCTGTAGACACTGGAATGCATCGGGCTCCACCTCACACCCTCTCGTACATGTTTATGATGGTCTAATCCCCTGTATTTCACACCTAACTACTTCATAGACTTATAAATTACATTAAGGTTGTCAGACAGAAGTTGCCATATCATTAAGTGATACCATAGCAAAAAAAAAAAAAATTTGGTTAAATTATTTTCTCACAAGCTTTTAAAAACAATCTTGATGAGACATACATTTCCCCTCTTAGAAAGACTTATCTCCTAGCTCATGAGACATGGTTATCATGATTGATTCCCCACTATTGAGGCAAAAGGGTATTCTATCATCTACTTTCTTCAGTCTGTCCCAGCAACCCCTATATTCCAAAAGTTAAATTCTGAAACTGCATCAGGTCCTTAAATATGAAGATACTGAACCCAAAGTAATGGCGCAGTGTAGAGTGGAATTTTACAGTCCAGTAATACTACCCAATTAAGCAGGCAGTGGGATAAGCTAACTGCCTGTGCAAGGCAGGTACGTATTCTGCCCGCAAAGCAAGGACATGTAGCAATAAGTCAATTATCAAACAATAATGACTGCTTTTTGCACCGTGTGCAATTAGAAAATTGCCTAGAGAATTGGGCAATCAAATTTCCTTTGAAACTTTTATTTTGAATTCTAATGGTAATTAGACTAAAATAAGGTGTTTGAATCATATTTTGACGAGCACATAAAGCTAAGTTTGGGGTTATGGAAGAGGCACAGATGATGCAATGCATGACGATTTGTACGCATATGCGTTGCAACATCATGCCAAGCAAAATCTTAGTTTTGAATGTACTACAGATACTGCAGAATAGGGTGTGATTAAACTTGGGATGTTCTGATCTATTCATGAGCAGTGGAACAAACATGTATTGAGAATCTACTATGCACAACACACCGTGAAGAGGAAAAAGTTAAGGTAAATTACTCACTTGAGAAACTAGCCATTAGGATCTTCCAGCTGGTAACATCCAATTACAGACTATTTCTTAAAGTTTGAGTGGCAGAGTACAATTTCTCATATTAACTTAGGGGTTTCTAAAGACTAATCTATACATTCACTCAAGTAGAGAAATTTATAGCTCTCTGCTCTTACAGCCACCATGACTGACATTACAAAATGTAGCCGGAATTAGAAAGTTCTTGGAATTAAAGTCTAAATTACCCTCAGTCTTATATAGTTGATGGCACTTACATCATGTGTTAGAGAAATGACAGCAGATAACTTGGCAATGCGTTTGCCTTTTAGATGATCACCCACGAAGACTGTGAAAAAGTAGTTGTTCAGAACAACCTGTGCTTTGGGAAATGTGGATCTGCTCGTTTTCCTGGAGCTGTGCAGCATACACCTCCCTTCTGCTCCCACTGCTCACCTGCCAAGTTCACCATGATGCACTTGTCACTGAACTGCTCCGACCTTGCCTCTGTGGTGAAGGTGGTGATGCTGGTAGAGGAGTGCCAGTGTAAGGTGAAGACAGAGCATGACCACGGGCACCTCCGGACTGGCCCCCAAGCAGAACTTCATGCTCAGGATCCCTTCATCCCAGGTTTTTCGACTTAAAAGGCTATCCTCAATTATGTTGGGGAGGCCAGGTCACAATCGTGAAATTGTTAGTTATTCTGTCTGGGAATGTTAAGTGTGTACATAATAGGGAAAGGTTTGAAAAATAGCTATTAAGAAAGAATGATTTAGAGAAAATGGTACTTATCTAGTTATCTGGACCTGTTGGGATCTAGTCTTGACTCTGCCACTAACTGGAGGAATTTGAACTAGATGATCACCAAAGTCCTTTCTGTTACTACTATGCCATGCTTTATTTTCTCCACATTTTGGTAAAAGTTCTTCAACTGAGAAAAGTAATGAGAAATAAACTAGACTTATAAAAATGGGCTTCCTTAGTAGTTTGACAAAGCAGCAAGAAAAAATTTTAAAAGGCCAGGGGTATTTTTTGAATGGCTTCTTTTGCCCCTCGGGCAGTGTTTTATTTGACTTCTATCAGGTGATTAAATTGTGGTATAGATGTAAGGAGTAGCTTGTTTGGATACCTCCTTATTTTTGCTACTCACCATATAAATTCTTAATGTCAGGTCTCTGACTTTGAGAAAGTACATTGATGTTTCTTTTGGTGGTTTACATAGGGAAGAGGAGCAATCATTTGTAGCCAAATAAGTAGCTATATTAGGAGGAAGGAAAAACATATGACTAACACCAGGTTTAAAGTTCAATCCAAAGATGCCAATGAAAGTAACCAAGGAACTCTAGTAAATATCAAACTAAATAAACTTCAAATGATTGAAAATTGAAAGAGTTTACAGGTGAAATCTTTTATCTATATGCCCTTTTGAATTCATAACATGTCAGGATTCTGAGTATGATTGACTGTTTTGGGCTGCCATATTAAAAACTTAATAAATTTTATTCTAAAAATGCCAAAATAGCAAGTTATGAAAATATTTTGAATATTTTAAGGTATTAATTTTTTTCAAAGATTTATTTAGTTATGTTTACATACAAGAGCTTGGGTGTAGACTAGAGTTGTGGGGGCATCAGATGATTCACCAGAGACAGAGTGGAGAGCAGAAAAGGCAGGTCTACTGAAATATTCTGCTGAGGGGAGCAGTAGGTGTGATAGGAGAGGTCTGTTGTGCCATGTGGGTCAGCTCCGTGGCCTGGGGATTGAAACTGTGCTGCAGCGGCTGCTGATAGCTTCTCAGTGCTGCGACTTAACCTCTTGAGCCACCAAGGAGGCCCCAAGTCATTAAATTTTAATGTATGAAGCATGCTGGCAAATGTAGTGATATTCAGTTGTCTTATACTTTGCCTAATTTGCTTTGTCTGTCCCAGAATTTAAAGGTACTGCCTAGAGATTATCTAGCTGAAGTATTTCTAAGATGGTTCCATTGGGTAGTAACTCTGCTTCTTCTGATTTTTAGCCAACTTTCTGTTAAGATTTTCTAATCACTCTCTTTTAGTATTAACATTTTTTCGGTATTTATTTGTATGCAGAGTTTATGCAAAACTGGCTTCTCCTAGCCATGTTATGTTTTCTATAATCAGTCATTAAAAACTCATCTTAAAATGTTAATTATTTGGATCTCTTTACTTCAGTACACACACAAAAAAAGTATTTCCCAGAATAATGATTTTTTTCAGAGATGTCAATGTATATTTTCAGTCGATTCCTCTCTAATCACACCATTTAACCTGATATTTAGAACAAGCAAATGCATGTATATTTAGTGTACATTCTACAACACATCAACGTAACAGAATATGCATTACACAGACACCCATGTGGCATTGACATCAGAATATATTATACCCTTTCGTGGTCAAAGACAACCTAATTGGCCAAGATATGGTCATAAGAATAAAACTGTTAAATATTAATGATATCCCAGCTGGTCAATATACTTTGGTGCCAAAAGCCATTGAGCAGCTGTCCATTTGCTGTCACATCGCCCTGATTATGTAACCCTCGCCCTGTCAATTAGACTATCCATTCCCTTCTTACACACTTGCAAATCCCCCCCTTTTTTTTTTTAAGATTTATTTATTTATGCATACAGAACTGGGGTAAAGGCCAGAGGTGCAGGGGCAGTGAGAGGATTCACCAGACACAGAGTGGGGAGCAGAATATGCAGACTGACAAAGTACACTGCTGAGGGGAGCAGTGGGCAGGTCAGGAGAGGTATGTCTCGCCATGTGGGTCAGCTCCCTGGTGGGGGATCGAACTTCTGCTGCAGTGGCTTTAGCTTCTTAGTGCTGTGCTTTAATCGGCTGTGTCACTAGGGAGGGCCTGCATATCCCTTTTATCTATCATTGCAAACAGACTCTCAAGCCTAAGACTCAAATCAAATCCTGGTATGCCTACCCTCACATGTGAATTCAAGGTGAGAAGTTGCTAGTGATATTACATTCAGAGAATGATGACCCTTGTGAAATTTCATGATTCAACCATATTAGTGAACAAAATTGGATAATTTCCAATGGTTCTATATATGTGGGAGCCTAAGTTACCAAGAGGAAACTAGTAACAAATATCCATTAAATGACAGATGTTGTCTTTTGACTTTTACACAAATTACATAGCTTACATAACAAATATCTAAGTTATGCAATTCTCAGAAAAATCCTAGGAGCTGAACAAATACCCATTTTTATAAGTGAAGAAAATAAGTCTGAAAGTTTAAGCAACTTTCTGCATGTCATTTGGATCATATTTTCTATTTGTTTTAAGGTATTTGTTCATTCACTAGCCATCAATTTGGAATCAGTTATTGCAAATGAGCCTCAAAGCTAATTATTTTTGCCTCTTGTCAATCTTTCAGGTTCAAAAGACATTGAGTTATCTCTTAAAAAGAAAGCGTTCCTAGGTTAGGTTCTCAGCCAAGCATTGGCCTGACTTAAACTAGTCACAGAGTGCTCTTCTTCAACCTTGGCCTTTTTTTCCAGTTGTATATAATAAGACTGATGCTTATCATTTCAAAATTATTCTAACTACAAAGGGTTAATTTATTATTCTCTATTGAGATGTTCTCTTGTTTAAAAATTTGTTTTCAGAAATTTAAAAGTGCTAAGAATAAAATGACAAACACTCAAATTCTCACCATTGAAACAGTTTTTCATCATCTGTGCTTTTTTTTTTTTAAGAAACACATTGTTTTTTAAGAAACAGTTTCACATATGGTTTCTAAACACAACAGTTTGCTGAGTTTAACCACCATGCTGAGTTCCATCTCCCACCCCCTGACAACCCAACACCCTTCCCCAAGATTTTTATGTATCCAATACCTTTTCATGTTTTACAAAGGTATATACACATCTGTAAAAACAAACAAACAAAAAACAAACATGGTGATATTTTGTGTATATTGTGTATATTTCCCTTTATTCAGTGGATTCTTATTTGTTCACTAGTTATGTGCTAGTCACATTTCTAGGTGCTGTGATTATAGGAAGGAAACAAGTCAGTTCAGATCTGTGGTCCTCCAGAGCTCATATTATAGCTAAGAGAATCAAGCAATGTGAAAATCAATCCACTTATTGATCAATTAAACGGGAAATCAATCCACTTATTGATTAATTAAAAGATGACACTATGTAGTTACAAATAATTAAAATAGGGAAGTGTGCTAAAGGTTAGTTACTAAGATTAAGCAGTCTCTCAAAGGGTGATATTAAAGCGGGGTTTTTAATCGCATGCACAATATCCTATATTATTTGTTCTACAGCTATTCTTTTTCTGCACACAACCTGATATGGTTTTACAATATTTTTTAGGACTTTTCTTTTTGTATGTTTTATATCTAGTGCAGAAACTTGATTTTCAATATCTCTTATAGTTTTGGTAATTTATTTATTTAAAGATTTATTTATTTGTGCATACAGAACTGGGGTACAGGCCAGAGGCTCAGGGGCTGGGAGAGGCTTCACCAGAGACAGAGTGGGGAGCAGAACAGGCAGATCGATGAAGTACACCGCTGAGGGGAGCAGTGGGCGGGTCAGGAGAGGTCTGCCGCACCATGTGGTCACCTCCGGGGATTGTTTTTAGTAATTTGAGGAACTGCCACACAGCTTCCCATAGTGGGTGAGCCATTTATATTCTCCGCTGGCAGTGTAAGTGTTCCTTTTTCTCCACATCCTTGATGAGACTTGTATGAATTAAATGACCATTCTAAAGTATAGGTGCTAAGAAGTAGCAGAAGCTAAATAACTACAAAGTCCCTGATTTTTCCAACGATGCCACATTATATCAAGATAGCAAGACTAGAAATATATATGTATGTATTTATATGAAACATGGATATATCAATACATTTAAATTTTATAGAACTGTCCATACATATGCATATATCTTTATATACAGGTGCACATATCTACACATAAATGCAGGTACATATAAATATACTGACTCACACAGAATCAAAGTTAAACATTTGATTCATCTATTAGGTTGTGCCTTCTGTGATATCTGGAAATCTTTACCCATGCTTGAGTTACATCACTTACATCAGAAAGGATGCTCTCAAGTATCAGGAAACAGCACTCAGAATATATTGTTGTAAAGATATTTATCATTTTTTAAAAGATTTATTTATTATTTATTATACAGAACTGGGGTATAGGTCAGAGGTGTGGAGGTAGAAGATTCACCAGAGACAGAGTGGGGAGCAGATCAGGCAGATCAATGAAGTACACTGCTGAGGGGAGCAGCCAGCAGGTCAGAAGTGACCCATGCGAGTCACTTTCCTGGCTGGGGATGGAACTCATGCTGCAGTGGCTGCAACAGCCTCATAGTGCTACACTTAAACCAGTTGTGACACCAGGGAAGATATTTATCATTCCACTAAATCTGGAGGAAAGCTAGGTCTGTGGTTGGCCAAATCACATCGCGCACATGGATGACCACAGAAGAAAAAGGAAATTCTTTCTCATTTATCTCCTTTTTAAGAGCTGAGGAAGATTTTGAGGATAATCAAAGAATGGGACAAAATCTGACAGCAAGAGAAAAGAACTCTCAGATAAGATAGTGAGATTACCTCTCAGTGCCATAGTCA